CCACAAACCATTTTTCTCCTTCCTCCAATTCTTCCTTTTCCAAATCGGATCTGATTTTGGTCTGCAGCTGAACGATTTCAGTACAATCATGGGCAGGTATACTCAGAGTTTCTCCATATAGAAATTGAGCTGGATTCTGAGCTGCTGTGGTCTTAAGTTCTAAGTCATGGGAATGGATTAAAATGGCTTAATATTTCAGAAGCCATGCATCGGTGAGCCATTTTTCTGCCTTCTGCTGCAAAATGCTCCTGACATTATGTGGGGAGTATACTCCTAGAGGAGCCCCAATTTTGGCCTCCTCCACTAACACAGCTCTGGCCCCTTTAGCCTGTAGGCACATAGGCCACCCCCTGCTGACAGGGTCCAAAAGCTTAGACACATAGTCTACTGGTTTCTTTGACCCTGCCCAATCCTGTGTTAGCACCCCGTAAGCAGTATGATTACTTACATCCACAAATAGTTGGAAAGGTCTTTTTGCATCTGGCAAGCTCAATACCGGAGCCACTATAAGAGACTCCTTCAGTTCCCTAAAGTTTTTCTCGTCCTGCTCGCTCCATTTGGGTTTATCTGTAGTCAGCTTTTCATATAAAAATTTTACCTTTTTGCTATACCACTCAATCCATTGCCTACAAAATCCCAAAAGTCCCAGGACCTGTCTTACCTCCCATTTAGACTGAGGGGAAGGCAAGGAGATGATCCTGGCTATTCTATCAGGGTCTAACTTTTTCTTTCCTTTTACCAGCCAGTGTCCTAAATACTTTACCTCAGGATCCGTGAACTGTAGTTTGGATTTTGAGATTTTCAGACCCTTGTTTCCTAAAAAGTTTACGAGAGCAATGGTGTTTGACCTTACCTCACCTTCGTCGGGTCCTGCTATTAATAGATCATCCATGTATTATAGTAATACTGTACAATACTGTAGTAATACCATACAATACTGTAGTAATACCATACAATACTGTAGTATTGGTTCCTTCTGTCGGGATAAACTCACTTAAGAGTTGCTCAAGAGCCTGGCCGAACAGGTTTGGTGAGTCCACAAACCCCTGGGGCAGGGAGGTCCGCCTGAATTGTTGTTTACGATTCGTCTCTGGATCCTCCCATTGAAATGCAAAATAATTTTGGCTCTCCTCTGCCAGAGGGCAAGTCCAAAAAGCATCTTTCAAATCAGTCACACTATACCAAATATCTTCTGGTGACACATTATTGATGAGGGTATATGGATTTGGAACCGTAGGAAACAGAGTCTTAGTCTGCTGATTAACTGCCCTCAGATCTTGTACTAGATGATAGATCCTGTCAGTTTTCGGACTGCAAGAATGGGAGTATTATGTCTTGGCATGCAAGGTTCCAAATTACCTTTCTTTATCAAATCTTCTGTTATGGGTTTTAACCCCTGCTGTCCCTCCAAGGGTATCGGGTATTGTTTTACCCAATAGGGTCTTCAGGTTTCTCAATCTCTATGTGTATGGGCTCCATTTCCAGTTTCCCCGCCTCCCCTTCAGTATGCCACACCTTGGGATTGATCTTTCTCTCGTCCTCTGTGGTCAGCTTATATAAACTTACCACAAGCTGCGATTCTTGAGCAATTAGGCTAATGCCCAAGTTCACCATCAAATCCCTTCCCAATAAATTATAGTCTGCTTCTTCTACTAGTAACATATTCCCCAAGCATATTTTATTTTCAGATTCTACTTCTACCTCTTTGATTACTGCTACCTTAAAGGGTTCCCTCTTTGCCCCAATTACCATCATAGAATCCTTGATTTTTGTGCATCCCCATGGTAGATCTTGAACGGTGCTCCTTTCAGCTCCTGAATCCACCAGAAACATCACCTCCTGTTTATGGGGTCCGATTTTAAGTTTTATCAAGGGTTCCTTTGGTGTTATAGACCCCATATTAAAAAGCCCCTGACACCTCTAATCCTCTTGGAACATTTTCTCATCTTTCATTCTCTTCTTGCATTCTCTTTTAAAGTGACCTCTTTGCTTGCAATAATAGCACTCTGGCGCCTCCCTCTGACGGGACGCAGGTTTCCTTGGCGGATATGTGGGTTTCCCCAAGGGCTTTTGCGCTTGCGCCGCTCTCCCGGTGCTAGTATTCTGTTCCTTTTTCTGGGCTTCTCTTACTGCTGTAACCAAAACCTTGGCTTGTATCTTTTGTTTTTCGTCCTCCCTCCGCATGTAAACCTTTTGAGCCTCCTGCAACAACTCTTGCAATGTCCTTTCTTGCCAATTCTCCATTTTTTCTAATTTTTTTCTTATATCCTCCCAAGATTTAGCCACGAATTGCATTTTCAATAGTATGGCTCCTACTGGCGAGTCTGGGTCTGTACCTGAATACATTTGGAGACTCTTTCTTAATCTCTCTAACCATTCCATAGGAGTTTCATCCCTCCCCTGGCATTCCCCCAAAGCCTTCCCCAAGTTCTGTCCCTTTGGCACCGCTCCCTGAATACCTTGAATAACCATATTTCTTAATTCAATCATTTTCTGCCAATCTTCTTCTACCTGGGCATTCCCGGATGGCCTTTGGCTGGGCCATTTGACCTCCTCACTCCCTCCTTGTAGGTTTCTGCATTCCCAATCTTTTATTGCAGCCACTCTTATCATGTCCCGTTCTTCGGCATTGAACAATGACCTCATAATAGCACTAATATCATTATACGAGTAAATGCTGTTCCCCAAAAATTCATCCAGTCACTCCGCCACCCCCAACGGGTCATCCATGATCTTTCCCATTTCCTTTTTGAATGCCCACACATCCCCTGAATTTATTGGCACATTCACATAAGCAATGGCCCCTGGAGCAGTCAGAACTTCTCTGAGAGGAAAGAGACCCTGTTGTCCCTCCTCGTCTTCGCTATTGTCCGTATACACCTTCTGAGTTCTGCGTCTCGTACAGCTGGAGGGTGGGGACTCTTTCCTGCGGGTGTGTGTGTGTGTGTGTTGTGTTTTCCTCCGGTTGTGTAGGAGGGGGAAGGGACGGGGTTTGTTCTGGTGGGGAGGGGATCAACGAAGCTTGCTCCTGTAGAGGCATGACTTTAGGTGGTGGTGCCTGCGGCGTTGCCTGTCGGTGCCCGGTGTTCACAGGTTCAGGGAGAGGACCTTGCACCTGAGGGTTCGGGTAAGGGGGAGGAAGGTTTTCCAGGGGCTCCCAAGTTTTTACTGGATCATTAGGTTGTTTGTAATCTCTGACAGAGAGCAATCCGATACTGGCATATTCCCATAACCGAGCATATTCCATTTCCTCCTGTCGACCCCTCCTCCTCAAACACAAATTCCCCCAATGCTCGACATAGCTCTTTGTTAAATGACCCAAACATAGGCCAAAACAGATATTTCCTGATCTCCACATCTGCCCATTTTTCCGTACAATAATAAATTACCTTTTCCTTAGATTTTCTCCTTCTCATAGGGCAGTCTTCCCAGTGTTCTAACATCCATCCCAGAGGACTGTGCCTCGGTATGTCAGGAATACAATATTTTTCCCTTTTCCTTGGTTTTTCTGGGGTTCTTCCCTGGAGTTTACTCTTTTTTCAAGCCCATGTCCTTTTACCCTTAATTACCTTTTCTTTGGTGGATTTAGTCAAGAGCCAGCCTGTTTCCTGGTTTTTCTATGGGTCCACCCTATTTCTGGCTCTTAATCACAATATGCCACAAAAATAAAACTTTTTGATGACCTACTAACGGTGCAGTGAAGCAGTCTGTGGATTTTTAGTCGACAAAAAAAGAAGAGCTCTCTTACCTATCCCTGGATCCAGCGAGGTCTCGTCATTCCTGGCTGTTGATGGATTCCCGTTCCCTTCTGATCCAGCCCGTGATCGATAAAACAACCCCCTTCCCTCCCCAATTTCCCGGGGTTTTTGGGTTGGTGCGTGTGTGTGTTTTTAACGAGTTTTTTTTTCACTCGCTTCCCCCGCAACCAACCACTTTCCTTGCGGAAGAGTGGAACTGCGATCTTGGGGTCCACACTCGCTTTGTGATAATATCACGTCTCACAAACACACTCGATCACACGCCACTCAACCACACGATACTTACGGTTCGTTTTCCCCTGTGGAGTCTTCGTGCACGTCATTTTTACGAGTAAAAATTGCTGGCTTTACGTAGAATTAACTCTTTCCTTGAGAGCTCTGGGCCCGTTTTACCTTTTGATTGTGGCTTTTAGGCTACAAAAAGTTCATGTAATCTGATGGGTTCCATTGGACTCTCCCAGTCTTGTCCGGCTGCTGAATTCAGCGGGGCATCGTCCGGACCTTGAGAGGGGACCCTGGAATCCTAAATCAGATCCCGTCGGGCAGGTCACCAAGATTGTTACAGGTAAAAATGAAATATGCCCAATTCTAATAAAAACAAAACTAATTTATTCACGACCGTGATACAGTCCTGACAGCCAACAATCAGACTGACAGCTCAACACCCCCGGGAGATAGGCTGGGTGAACATGGATTTGGCCTCTATTGCACCAAATCTCCCTTCGTCCACACTGGCTCCTCTGAGGGAACAGTTCTTATACTCCTTGCTCCACCAATGGCAGAGTCCCTTTGTCTCTTTCTAGAGTTCTTCTTATTCAAGTTGGTTCTGTTCTTCAGCCTGATCTGCACAAAGCCTTCCTCCGGGAATAGATTAATGCTTCTCCCGATTCTTGGAATCCTGTATTCAGGTGGCAGGTGTTGATGGCCCTTGCTATCTCAGATGCGTATCTTTCCGGGCCATCATCTCTGGGAGTCTCTGGATACATGCCTCCGCAAACGACCATCTCCTGTGCAGCCGAGGGTTCCTTCGTATGTAAATGTCCTGGTATCTCCTTGCCAGTCTGCCGCGGTTTCGCCATCCTGAGAATGAAATCCCTAGCCTCCCCTCTGTACAGCCAGTTTGGTTCATATACTTTATAGAAGCCTGTATTTTATCTGCACAAATTACTAACTATACCCCTAACCGCACTGACATGTATTTGAATTTTCTGTTTAACTTTGGAAACCCACTTCCTTTTTTAGGAGCAATTTTAATATTTCTTCCTGGGTATGATGAGATAGTGAGCCTGAGGGACCGCATTCTTTTTGATGACAAGAGATTTGCTGATAATGCTCACAGGTAAAACCTTTAGTTGCTGTGGCTTTTCGTTGCTTCTTTTAAAGATCCTTAAAATGTTCTTTTGTCTTGCATTAGATACCAAGTTTTCATGCTTCATTCAAATGTGCAGACTTTGGATCAGAAGAAAGTGCTTGAAACTCCACCTTCTGGCATTCGCAAAATTGCAAGTATTAGAGGACTTTGTCAGATGCTACAATGATCTATTTTGCTGTTGCTTTTGCAGTTACTATAGTTTTGGTGGTTTTGGTTTTTTTCTTTGCAGATTCTTTCTACTAATATTGCAGAAACCAGCATAACAGTCAATGATGTTGTGTTTGTCATTGATTCAGGCAAGGTGAAAGAGGTATGACAGCCTTAAATTTTCCTAGTGTCATTCTAAAACACACAGTGCATAAATCTTGGAGAACTTTTTTTTTTGCTTTACAGTAAGGTGAAAAAAAGCTTTTATTAGCTGAGAGCTAGTGCCTGTCAGGCAACAGTCCTCACTGTAAAATTTCAACATCCATTTGTTTTAAGACAAATACTGTAAATAGCTAGCTGTCTGAAAAAACTTGTAAAAGCTAATATAGGTTGATGTATTAATGTATCTTTCTCTTTTGTAATTTAGTATTTCTGTGGGATTTTTAACACAAGTCCTCAGTTTGGACCACTACCTTCCTGAGAGTTAGAGGACACTGGTAGTTCCTTTTGTCCTACTATTGTATCAGGTCCAAAAATAATCCATTACTTTTTTAAGCAGTGGTTTTGGTGTGTTTGGTCCCCTTTCCTAATTACTTGTTCAAGAAAAGTGAGATCACATAGTGAGGCAATTTAAGACCTAGTGTATGGCTTTGAAAACTAAATTTGATTTCATAGGTGACGTGCACACCAAATTTCTGAAGTTCTCATAAAACAAACTTTTTTTTTGTAATTTTACATCAGTCTAAGAAAATAAGGTAATTTCCAAGTGAGATAAAAAGGAAAACTTTATTTGGTATAATAATGTATTTTTACTTGCTTTGTGATATCTCAGAACACAGATCTGACATACCTTTTACTGACTTGCAATTACTTATTGACTGGAAAATGTTTCATTTCAAAAACTGTGTAGTACTAAGATACTACAAAGGTGATACCATCATGAATTCACTTGAAACTGAGAAGATACCTGTGTGCCAGAAACTGCTGTGTATATTACTGTTTCATACTTTTTAGAAAACTTCTGTTGGTAATCTAAATAACTAGTAAGTTTTATTTCGTATTTCATAAATTCCTATTGAGTTTTCAGTTTATATTCCTTCCTTGTTTTTCTAGAAGTCTTTTGATGCACTGAGTCGTGTTACAATGCTAAAAATGGGGTGGATTTCAAAAGCCAGTGCTATCCAGAGAAAAGGCAGGTAATAAATGCCTCATAATGGTTTCCATTTTGCAGGTATCCACAGTCCTTTATGTTTAGAATAAAGTACACAACATAGTAACTGTTTCTTGCCTAGTCCAGTGTCATGTTGGATAATGGCCAACACTACTACTGTGCAGACAAGTAGGGGTCAGTATGTATTTCTTGGAATCATTTCCCAAGTTGTAGAAAAGTGATGCTCAGGCATTTCCAAAGGTCTAGCTTGTTTCCCCCCCCCCACCCCATTAATTTGTTCTCCTTCCTCTTTCTCCCATGTAGCACCAGCAGTCACAGTGTCCAGTGGGGTGTTTTCACACTTTGTGGGCAGAAGACTGCCTTTATCACTTTCTCCAAGCTATCCATGACTTAACAGGCCATGATTATATTCTTCCAACGCTATGGGTGAGGGCTCAGAACTTTATGTAGCAAAAAATGCCTGTTTAATCAATCACATTGGCATTAAGCTGCACGTATACACATATACGTATATGAATGAGAGAATTTGCTGTCTGTCATTCACTCACAAGTTATTTAATCTTTATTCTACCTTTTACTCCAAACACTTCTGTTTGGGGGATGTGAGGAGAAGAAGTGATGTTTGCAACTGGTTCCTTACAACAAAGGATGATTGAGATTTGGACTGGTCTTAGGTTAGCAAAAAACCCACAGCACTTTACATTAGATATGCCTTGTTTTTCTTCCTCCAGATTTCTCAGTGTTCGGTTAAAATTACAGTAAAAAATTGCCACACTCTCAAAAATAATCCATGATTGGAAAACTCTCACTTTGTGTGTGACTTACAGCACTTTCTTCATAGAACTGCTTCTACTTTTCCATTCTGAGTTTCTGTGTCTGTTTATTGGCTTTTGGTTTTGTTTTTATAAAGAAATCCTAATTTTCACAACTTCTGATATTTTATTTTCAAGGGCTGGGCGCTGTCAGCCTGGAGTCTGTTTTCGTCTCTTCAGCAGGCTTCGATTTCAGAACATGTTGGAATTTCAGTCTCCAGAACTTCTAAGAATGCCACTTCAGGTGCATGTTCAGTTAGAAATTACAACTTTAAAAAATAGAATGTCATCAAACCATACTATTAATTGCAACAAATCATGTGTTTGGGGGTTGTTTCCAAATCTTAGTAATCTTTTTTGTTCTGCCTTTTAACTTGCAGGAGATTTGTTTATACACAAAACTTCTGGCTCCAATTAATTGTCCAGTTGTAGACTTTCTTATGAAAGCTCCTGATCCTCCACCTGCTGTAACTGTGAGAAATGGCGTGCATATGCTTAAGGTCAGAAAAAGAATAGGTTGAGATGGTAATTGTGTTTGATCCCAAATGTGTGGTTTAGCAATCTATCTTACTGACTTCAGTTTGTACTGAAGCTATTTTTAATTACTTAAGGATGTTTTGAATTTTTGTTTATTGTCTGTTTGCATTTTGCGTGTGGGGATGTGTTTTTCCATGTCAAGGGAAGAGAGTGCTTCAAAGTCTTGTCTCTGTTAAGTTTGACTTGCTTTTTTATTGTTTGGAAACAAGTCTAGTTAATGTCCACTATTCACATCTTTTCTGCTTTCACTGTAAATTGATTTTGTCCACTGTCTCCATCCCTCTCTCCTTTGTTTGTTTGTTTTTTTGTTTATAAACAGACCATAGATGCCATGGACCCTTGGGAAGATTTAACTGAGCTTGGTTATCACCTCACTGAATTACCTGTAGAGCCACACCTTGGTAAAATGGTGTTGTATGCTGTAGTTCTGAAGTGCCTGGATCCTGTTCTGACCATTGCCTGTGCTCTTGCCTGCCAAGACCCTTTTGTGCTGCCCACGCTGGCCTCCCAAAAGCGTGCAGCCATGCTGTGCAGGAAGCGTTTTGCTGCCGGGACGTTCAGTGACCACATGGCCCTGCTCAGGGCTTTCCAGGTAGCACTTCATTTCAGAGAGTACTAATCATAGTAGATCACCCAATCAAGGCAAATAATGTCTACTTGGATGCAGCGTGGTGGACTGTGATTAAGTCCTTGGAGAAGACTTTATTTTGCCTAGTGGCTTTCCTGTGTATTGGACTCATACATTTGTGACGGAACACTTTTTGTAGTATGTTTTGTTGATATTTTCAAACCTTACAAAATTCTGAGCATTCCAACAGTGTGCCTCTTAATATCCTACTACACTGAACTTCAAATCATGATCTTAATGTAATGGTCTTTATTTATTGTTTTAACTTGACATAACCATCATTGTAGTGAACACGTAAAGAGAAGGTAATTCTTGAACAGAAAGAAGAATCTGGTTTGATACATTAACTTTTAGAGTGGGTTTTGCGTTCATTTTATTGACATAAATGTAATCTTTTACAAAAATACAGTTTTTAGTTTTAGCCTATCAAATTAATAGGCAAATGTAAAAATATTTTCAGGCATGGCAGAAGGCACGCAGTGATGGCTGGGAGAGAGCCTTCTGTGAAAAGAACTTCCTATCCCAAGCCACAATGGAAATCATTGTAGGAATGAGAACACAGTTGCTTGGCCAGCTTAGAGCCTCAGGTAAAGAACTTGGAAAAAATTTTAACATTTTAAAGTCAAGCATATAGAAATTGTAACAAAAATCATGTTCACTGGTGTAATTTTCCTTAGTTAATTTGAAATACACCTTCATGTACTCATTCATGCAGGGTATGGTGTAGGTGAGGAAGTGTGGCTGATCTAACTGAAAGCACCCTCATCTCCACATGCCACTGCATTTCATGTTTTAATAAATTATTCCCATAGGAAATGTCTTTGTACTGTAGAAAATAGTGATATTCTGTGTTAGTATAAAACCCCTTATCAGGAAGAATTTCAGTAACGGTTTCTTTTTGGTGCTGTTAAGGTTGGCAGTGATGAAAAATGTAACAAGTAAGTAGTTTATTTCACCTTTAGTTTCTAACTCCTTTTGAGAACCAAACACAAGCTAACATGGCACTGTTTTTCTTGTTCTTTTGTCAGGTTTTGTGAGAGCCAGAGGAGGAGCTGATATTAGAGATGTTAATACAAACTCTGAGAACTGGGCTGTAATTAAAGCTGCCTTAGTGGCCGGGATGTATCCCAATCTTGTGCATGTAGACAGAGAAAGCCTGGTGTTGACTGAACCAAAGGAGAAGAAAGTGCTATTTCATCCTACCTCTGTTCTTGGTCAGTCTCAGTATAAAAAGGTAAAATCACTTTGAATTCATAGTTCAAAAAAAAGAGCGCTATCACATTTTAGAAGTGTCTTTTCCTAGTTGTCAGTACTTTAAAAGCAGTAGGGCATTTAACAGCTTTAGAAAATATTATTATAGAGATAGAATTGGAGTTGATTCATTTTTCCAATGTTTCAATCAGTCCTTTCTCTAGATGGAACAAGGCAAAATGGCAAAAAAACCACTCCAGTTATAAGATTGTTTTAAAGATAGAATGATCCCTATTCTTAAAACCGAGAAGTTCTTATCTAAAACTTTTTTTTTGACGTTTCTTTTTAATGCAAAACATTTTATTTTATCATGGTAGGATATTTTGTGAATCTGGTTGAATTCTCTCACGCTTTTTTATTTGCATGTATATTTTTATGTGTATATAATTATGCGTGTATTTATTTCTCAAAAGATAGAATCATAGAATGGTTTGGGTTGGAAGGGAGCTTAAAGCTTATGTCATTCCAACCCCCTGCCATGGGTAGGGACACATTCCACTAGTCCAGGTTGCTCAGAGCCCCACCCAGCCTGGCCTTGAACACTTCCAGGTTGAGGCATCCACAATGTCTTTGGATAAAATGAGAAATATGTTAAAATTTACATTACTTACATGTAGAGGGTATAATAGCCTAGTCTTACCTGCACAGGTTCTTACCTGCACAATCTTGCACAGATTGCCCCAGCAAATGGACAAGCTGCAGCCATCCAGGCCCTCCCTACAGACTGGCTTATATATGATGAAATGACGAGAGCTCACAAGACAGCAAACATCAGGTGCTGCTCTGTTGTGACACCTGTCACCGTGTCCCTCTTCTGTGGACCAGCCAGACTGCCAAGTAATGCCTTGCAGGCATCTTCATCCTTTCGAGGTACACTGGAATCTGGATTTGGAATTTTCCAGTGGTATATATACATCAGTGTTTGACTTCGAAAACTTACTCAATACATATATTGGTTGATTCTGAAAACAACATTGTTATAATTCCTGTAGCTATTCAGGAATAGTTTGTAGGTTCTGTAACAAATCTGTCAGTTTTGGGATTCCTGACATATTCAAGTCCATAAATTACACAGTTCTGTGGTCTCAGAAATTACAGTATAGTTTGTAAGGAAAGAATGCAGCCACAATGTCTAATGATAATACTAGTACTGAGATGTGTAGTATGTATGTTCTTTTTCTACAGACTACTTTAGTTGATACCTAGAACCAGATTATTCAAACTGAATAATTTAGAAACAATCAATATGGCAAACAAGTCATGTTGTTTCTAGCTGACACATGCATTTTCAAGATATGTTCTACTGATAATTTTTTATGTCAATTAACTGTACCATTAACTGTAAGTAATAGAGAATATATAGAAATTTCCATTTTTTTTCCTTATTTAAATTGAGTCCTGTTGGAATGGAAGCAAAAATAACTGCTGCTAGTTCTCACAGTTTGAATCAAACTAAAAGTCCAACTTATTTCTGAAGCTTTCCTGTCTTGCTTGTTAACCTTAGAGTAGTGTTCATGCTGTTTGAATTGCACTTTAGGAAAATAAGGATTCCTAATTAATAGCCATATTATATATATAATTTTTTTCTTACTAGGTCTTTAAATCTGCTGTTTTACTAGGAAATAGAGCCATGTGTGGTTTTGCAAACAGTTTTAGGCAAAAGTTGGATAGTGGCTTGTGAATACTGGTGAAAGTACATGAGTTGAGTCATATCATATCAGTACAGGTTTTTACGTAGTAGGACCTTCAGCAGGTCTGCCTACTTGATTGCTGCTATCTGGAGCAAAGACTTTTCAGTGTATGTGCAGGAAAGAAGAGGTAGTTTTACAGATGTTTACATTTTAAAGTCAATTTTAGAAGGAAAAATATTATTGCTGGTAATACAGTAGTGTTCATTTTTTTATATATAAGTGGAAATAATATAGAAATGCTAATAAACCCTTTGTCTTCAATTCAGGGGGAGGGGTATCTAATGACAGCAGTGACAGTGAGATGGAGGACAAAACAACTGCTAATCTGGCACTGCTGAAGCTGGATGAATGGCTCCATCTCAAACTGGACCCTGAAGTAAGTAAAAAATCACTCCTAGGTTTGCTTCAGGTAGAAGAATTGTGAAAAGATATTAAAAGTTTTTTGTAACATTTGAGTAGCCAAGAATTTTCTCTATGAATGTCACGCTCCATTTGGGTCTCTAAAACTATGTACTCAGTGATTTAACCTTTACTTCATGAGCACATCAAGAATTAAAGGGCTTCAATCCCCTTTGGCACAGTTGTCTGTCGTGTGAATTGGTGTATTCAACATCCAAGTTGCAGTGTTTCATAGCCTATCACCCATACCTTTCCATTCTTTTACTTACGAGCAAAAAGAAAGAAAATAATTAGTCACTTAAGTCAACAGTGAGAGTGCTCATCCCTCTTCCTCCATCTTGGTGTGGGTGTCCTGTCTATCACACGAGGGAGGAGGAAAGCCTCAGCAGATGCTGTTGGATTTGCTTCAGAAACTTTCTGGGCAGTATCATGATTTATATGTCTGAGCTTTGCAGTTTTGTCTCTTTCCACAAGTCAGCAGATTCTGAAGAGTTTACCCGACAAAAGATAATGGCTGCAAGGGACAGCATGCTGCAGGTGACAGTGGCTGCATAAGGACCCTTCTGCTCCTTCTGGCCTCCTGTCCTGCCTGCATGGTGCTCCATCATGCTGTAGCAGGAGCTGGCATAGCAAGAATCTGAACAGGAGCTGAGAGAACAGTCACATTGGCATACTGTGTTCTTCTTTCTGTGCGAGGATAGCCAAAATTAGATCAAAAAAGGAGCACTTAAAGTTGGAGTTGCTGAAAGGAAGTTGTTGTCAGATTTTGGAAGGATAAATATAAACGTCTTTGAAATAGAAGTCTTTATGTCATTGAGGAGCTCCTATCTCCTGTGGTAGGAGGTTGTTTATGGGTCATGAAACACACAACTTTACCAGCTCTAATAATAATACTGTCTCTCATAGACATGTCCAAAAGAGTGATTTTTTAAAATTTACTTTAATGGAAGCATTTCTGATAACATGGGAATTAGACTATAGTCTTCTGATTTAGTCATCACATTGGAGCAGATATCTGTGTAAGAAAAATGTCACTTAGAGCTCTTTTCCCTCAAGTATGACTGAAGAGTGCATGAGTAGAGACTGATTGAGAGGAAGGGCATAAAGCATGAAAGGATTGGGTTTTCTCAAAAGATGAAAAGGAAAAAAAAAGTCTGTGGGTTTATGGTACAAAGCTATGTTTAGCAGAGAGCTAAATGAAATCTTTCAAAAATTAGCTTGTGCCCAAGGAAAAGAAAGTAAATTAACATTTGAGTTTAAATATGTATTATTCCCCTTCCTCAAGACCTTAGTCATGCCTTTCATTTTGGGCCCTGTTTATATTAGAATGCCAGGTGCTGCCTGATAGGAAGAAGATAGGGTCCTCTTACCTGTCTGATCTAATTTTCATCAGCATTTAACAGAATTGGAATTCATTACAGGCTGCCAGTATGCTGTTGCAACTCAGGCAGAAATGGCACAGTTTGTTCCTGCGTCGTATGCGAGCTCCTTCTAAACCATGGTCTCAGGTTGATGAAACAACTGTAAGAGCAATTACAGCTGTTCTGAGTGCTGAAGAACAGTCTGCAGGCCTGCAGCAGCCTTCAGGAATCGGCCAGAGACCAAGACCTGTAACTTGTGAAGAACTTCCTTTGGCATCCACATGGAAGTCAACCAACAGCAGAAAAAGCTCAACAGAAACTGAATTGTCTGACTCCTCTAATGCTGAAAAGTAAGATGTTGAGGTCTTCTGCTCACTGTAGGTTGCAATTTATGTATACAAGCTTTACTTAAATTTCTGCTAGTAATAAGGAGGTGGGAACAGTGGAAATACAGTTGAAAGGTGTTATACTGTTGTATGCTGCATTGAAATCCCACAAAGAAGTATTTCATACCTGGGCCTGCTGTTTGAGAGAGCAGTCAGGAATATTGTCCCTGAATTGTGATGTTTGAGAAGTAGCAGAAGAGGTTCAACAGTAGCATTAAAAAGCAATGCATGATCAGTATGGTGTTTTTAGTTAGGGTTTAATAGATTTTGTAGTTGCTGTAATACATGTGGTCATGCAGTAGGCTGACAGGTCGATGTAAATTGTTCAGTGACTGCTTGTGAAACTCAAGGTATGTCTTTTTAGGGTTTCAGTGAAATCTACATCTCCTGCACTCCACCAGCCAAAGAAGTACAAAGAAAAAGACATTTTGCTCTCCAAACGAGCCTCAGATGACAGATCAGCTCAGTCCTCAGTGAAGCCTGCAGACAGCAGTAGCTATTCCAGCCCCTGTGCTAGTGCTTCTTCTCCAGTGTCTGGAAAGGTAGAGTTCTCTAACATATCACTCTGCTCTTCAAAAGCAAAAGAATTTCTTGCTGATATCATTCTGCAATTAGGTATTTTACTGATAAATTAGGAACCTAACTTAACTTTTCATTTATAACAGCTGCATAATACTTCCTTCTGGAACTTAAAATCTAGACTAAATATCCTTGTTCCACTAGATTAATACAGTAAAAATAATTTGTGGACTGCTGAGGTAAAGCTATCCAAAGTAGAAAAAATGAGATTTTAAAAAAAAACTTGTTCTAGTAAACATGTTAGTTTTTTCAACTAAATTAGTATATTATACACACACTTCTGAAGTTTTGGGTTCTGCCTGTCTCTGTTTCTGTAATATCATACACTGATACTGATTCTGTTTTATCTGCCTTACTATGATGCTTGGGGTTTTTGTGATGGTTATTTTAATAAAGCACACATTTTCACTGAGATTATTGTCATAGTTGACCCTGTATACTTGAATAGTAGACTGCAGTAACACTAAAGAGATCATTGAGAGGAAACGTTATGGACTCATTGGATACTTCAGTAATTCCTCTTGAATCTTTCAGCTTTTAAATTAAGACAGTGTAAAAGGAAGAAAACATCTTTCCTGAATGTAGAAATGCAAATAGGGTGCTGTAGGCTGCACTCTAGGATGATTAATTTTGGTGTCATCTTAAGGTGTGTCAGACTTAAACCAATTATAATTAATCACTAGACTTTTTGATCCTATTTTGCTCTACTTGTTTTCTGCCATCATGGATGAACTACTATTTTGAAAAGTGCTTTAAAAATGTAAAGTAGAGATGAAATATATTTCAAAGCCATTTCAGACAGGACCAGCTGACAGATTTTATGTTTCTTCTAGAACCTAGAGGAGGAAGGGAGGAGCAGAGTCAAGGGATTTCTGTCCTCATATGTGTGAAACTTCAGAAATAAAGCCTGTTGTATTGTATTTATTAATTTAATTTATTTTTTCCAGGGTTGCAAATCTCCTTCACCAAGACAAAATATGCCAGTTCGGTACTTTATAATGAAAAGTAGCAACTTGCAAAACATTGATATTTCTCAACAGAAGGGAATATGGTCCACTACACCAAGTAATGAACGGAAACTGAATGGAGCCTTTTGGGAGAGCAGCGTGGTTTACTTAATATTTTCTGTTCAAGGGTCTGGATGCTTTCAGGTGAGTCTTAATCTTAAACTAACTATTAGCAGTGGTTGATAGTTTGGGAGGATGCAGCAAATGACAGTGTCTAGTGTAGACAGCTTTGCTTATGGCTTCTGACTTTCTGAGAAGCAGAGCAATGTGCAAATATCTGTGCTTGCTGAAGAAAGAGTATATTTCATTCTCTGAAACATGCTTGTCCCTCAAAAGCTGAGATGGAATTCTCCAAACATCATGAGTAAAAAAAATGTTTGTACCCTATATTAATCCTCTAAAACAACAACAACCAGGAAAAAATCCTAACAAAGTAGTGGGTTGCTACTGTTTGCATGCGACAATGTGTATTGTAAGTGAGCAAGCACTTACAGTCAAGTCACAGCTTTCTAAAGCAAAGAAATTCATACATTTTTTAATTAAAATTTTGATTAAAACTGATGTTATTCACTTCCAGTTAGGAAGCTGGCCATGACTCTTCCAGAGCTCTGTCTTGACTTTATATTCAGTGAGATACATGCCAACAGTTTGTTGGTCAAATCTGTGGTCAGTTTAAAGTAAAAACTTGACCTGGTAGTGCAGAGTTGCAGGTTAGCTGTGAGCCACCTAGATTCAGTTTTTCCAGGAAAGAAATTTCAACTTACTTCTTCATAGATAAGTTAGTTATAAAAGTCAGCCAAACTTAAGATCTAATGGACCAACCAAAACACAGCTGTCTTGGCAATACCACTGAAGGACTAGAGTCACGTATTACATATGATAGTTTGGCAAATGCAGATACTGGAAAGTAATTTTCAGCAAGTCAGTTGATACTGAAAATGGGCTGTTGCACTGGTCCTCTCAGACAAGAAAGCGGGGAAGGGAAGACACCCTCAAGTCAGGAGTGTAGGTGGTTGACCTTTCCCTGCCCTTCCAGTTTTAAGAGTGCACTGCACTCTCATGGGAATGTGAGATAACTTCCTATTAATTTTCTCTTGTCCCAGCTGTCTCTTTCTATTCTACATTTAATTTTTCCTCGGTTCCTTTTATTAATTCGTGTTTAAATCTAGCTTGAGCTATCTAGGATTGCTTGTCTTACAACAGTAGCGTGTGTTGGTAATTTACTGAACCGCATCTTTTGGACTGAGAAGTTCTAAATGTCATAAATACACCTGAATAGTGTATTGATACGTTGTATGTGGGTGTTGGTTTACTTTCAGTTTGTTTGGTGTGTGGGTACATCAGGGTGTCCTTAAGTAAGTTAGATGCTGTCTCAGGTTGGGGGTTTCATTAATTTTCTTTTGGAATACTTGTTGTGTTGGAATTCCGTCCAGCTTCACTAAAGCAGGAAATAAAAGCAAGTTTGACTTCTTTCTTTGAAGAACAGCTACACTCTCCTAATTCTGCGTGAAAGTTTGTTAGCATAGAGGGAACATGAGAATGAGCAAATGGATTTCTGCAAAAATTACCTAAAAGTAACAAGGAATATGAATATCTAATGGACTATACTGTAGTAGAATATTCATCTCAACTTCCTTTTACTTCAGGTGGTTATGCAGCAGCTTTTTTATCTGTTACAAAGCTCAAAAAACTTCTAGTCATAATTTTGTCAGAGATATTCTTTATGGTCAAACCCTACAAGGCATATTTGAAGTGGAAAAAGAAATTATTCTTCTAACTTTCTAGATGTAAACATTTTGGAAGCTCCAGCTTCATGGTGAAGAGTGTGTGAATCACTTTGAAACTACTTTGAAAGTTTCATAGAAAGTTTGGTTATTTATCTCATTCCACCATAGACATATATGGTGTCATTATGTCTGTTCTTTCATATTTCAATTTTTGTCCCAGGGTTTTGCTAGGATGGGTTCAGCAATTGGATGTGAGAAAAGTCAAGACTGGGGATCTGCTGGTTTTGGAGGTGTATTTAAGGTGGACTGGATCCGAAAAGAAAGCATTCCTTTTCAGTTTGCACACCATTTGCTCAACCCATGGAATGACAGTAAGAAAGTGCAGATAAGTAGAGATGGCCAGGTAATGTTACTCTCTTCTGAAGTTTTCTTTATTTGGTAAAATGTATTTATTGTTTTTTTTATTTCCTTGTTCAGCCTTGACATTTATTTCCACTTGTTTGTGTATCTGCTAATCTGAATTCACAGTTCATTAGTGTATTGTACCTTCAGCTAATGCAGAATTACTGCTGAAGTAATCTTTGATAAAATCAAGTTTCTTGCTTATGTGTTAAAAATATTATTTAAAGGTGGATGCTTCCAAACAGAAGTTGTTGGGTTTGGTTTTTAGTTTGTAATTTAGTTCTGGAGGTTTGTTCCCTGTTTGGTTGAGTTGTTCTCTTAGATAATCTGTTACACCCAAATAACTGTTCAAAATTATTGGTTTTTTTCTGTAAAGCCTGAAGAGACTCCTGAGTTTTAAGGTAGAGTGAAGCTTAGGACAGTTCTTGTACTTTTTACAGCTCTAAAAATGCAACTACAAAAAGCCAAAGAATTGGTACAAAATTCTGTGTGGCAGTTTCTTCTCTCTCCCCACCCCCTCCCTGAACATCTCCTTGAAGATTCAAGAGCTAAAGTTTTTGTATCACTTTCTCTCCTTCAAATCCTCTCTCCAGCTATAAGAAACTGGAGGAAAGGAGAAGTACAAGGAAAGGAGGCCCACTGTATTTCCTGTGACCTCTCTTTCCATATTCTCCACCACACTTGATGGAATTCAACTTAAAAGATGTGGAAAATAATGATCTCTAGTTAGTAAGTGACTGATCTGTGGGAGGTGCAAAATGTCTGGTGCATCTGTTCTTGTGTATGGTGGTAGGGTGTTCACTGGGAATTGTCTTTGTGAGAACTGACAACTCACTGTCAATGAAAACACCCCAAACAGCCTGTAGGCCAGGATGGCTTGTGAAAGTTTTTATCTCCTGCTGAGCCCTAGTAAGAAAACTTTGCTCTGCTGGGAGTTCTAATGTTTGTCCCAATAGCAAAAGAGATGACCTCTTCTAGAAAGGTTGAAAGCAATAACCAGCAACCTCCTGTAACAATTCAGTAATGAATAGTTTCTGTATGCTCAGCAGTAGCAGTGCATGTAACTTCCTTGATTTCCTGATCATTCCTAGGAGCTGGAACCACAAGTTGGAGAGCAGTTGCTGCAGCTTTGGGACCGTATTCCTTTGGCAGGAAAAAAACTGACTGAGCATGCCAAGTAATGTGACAGAGGTAGTTTTCCATGCATTGCTTGCTCATTTTGTGGTAGAGGAAAAGCCATGTACATACAGTGTATCACCATGGTACTGTCTTTCCTTTATAGCTTGTGGAAGAACAAGTACACCCAGTACTAAATATTCTATTAATTTTGATTTTTTTCAGCTGGTTTAGGGTGTTGAAACATCAGCCATGAGAACCAGCAGCATATCTACAATAAAGATAAGGAAGAAGGTGACGCAACAACCTCTTGACATTCTTCCTCATGCTGGGCAGCTAGAAGTGGAAAAATAAGAGGGAATTGTGTTGTATTCAGTGTTTACTTGCCTGCCTATTTTTTGACTGAGCTGGTTTTTTTACAGTAGTGTGCAGTTGATACTTTAAAATACAGTTAAGTTGAAAACAAAGTTTGAAACAATGGACCTCCTGTAAGTTGTCTGTGGGTTTAAAATACCATAACAGACAGTTTAAGTATGCAGTTTACAGTTAAAGCTTTCTCAACCCAGTAAAAGGTATGAGAATGTAAATGTTAATTAATCAGTCTTGCAGTTCAGTTTAAAAAAATACTAACTCCAAATATGCTGAAAGGCTCCTTAAGTGTACTTCCACATCCACAGTGCGAGAGAGCAGAATATGTTCATACATATAACTAAGCAGCTGGAAATGTTAATTTTTAATTTATTTAAAGGTAATTATTTTTAATTCATTTAAATTTATTTTATTTTGGTTTTGTTTGTATTTAATTATTTATTATTGAATTTAATTATTTTAAATTAATTTAATTTAAATAGAAAAGAAGGAGCATGAGACTTTTGAGATTGGGTGCATCTGCTGATGTTTCCAGTTTCAGTTATTTTTAACTTTTAAGATGTGACTCACACCTTGTGAAGCTGAAACAGTCTTTCAGAGGCCTGTGGCCAGGTGGTACTTCAATAGTTGACTAATTTAGGCAGTTTTAGAAGATTTGTTTTTTCTTTAAAAAACAATAAAAATCATTACCAGTACAATTTCCTTGATCATTTAACATTGTCTTCATGCTTTCTTTCAAGTTGTTTCTTTTTCTTCCATGCCACTGCAGTGTTGGTTTATTTGGCTTTTTCTTAGTCCTTAACATACTGTACTGTAAGGCTGGTATAAATGTGTATGATCACTGTCAGCAGTGTTTGTGGTCATTCTTAGGTTAAACCAAGATTTTTTTCTGCTTCTGAGCCTCTGCCCGTTTCCTCTTGTCTGTTCAGGATACTACCCCATGCATTCATTTTGCATTCAGTGTGGTGACTTCCACACATGAACCATCAGTTTGACCTTTGCCAAGACTCGCTGGGTGCCTGTAAGGCTGGTATGCCCAAGAAATAGTTTCTCAAGACAGTGCATACAAAGGGAGGCATGAGGCTCTTCCTGCCTTTTACAGTACTTCCAGGCCTGTGCCCACACAGGAGTGTGGGGCAGTACTGCCGTGTACAGATATACAGGGCCCTGTGCGCTCCAGAGACAGAGCTGGTACAGAGAGGGAGCACGGGCAAGTGTAATGTTTGGTTAACCAGCCAAATGGTACTTCTGCAGCTTGATGGTAACAAACGGACAGTCCAGCCATGGAATTTGCATTCCACAAGGCCACTGGCCAGCGTAGGTTGCTTGTGTGGAGAAGAGATTGTACCCTGCTGCCCGCCTGACAAACATGGTCATGTAAGTCTTTGTATGCCCAGATGTTAGATGCAGCCCAGTCATGGTGGATTACATAATATTACCCAAGTAACTGTACTACTGACCTGTATTTTCTCACACACTGTATTTAGATGTGGACTGTTCATCCTTAAGCTGTTGGTCTGGTGTCTGTAACCATCTCCTTTTAACGGGGCTGCCTAAAGCCCTTACACTCTAGTAGCAGAAGTGGATTGCCACTTCCTGTGATGATACCAACAGTATCATCAGCCTTCAGAAGAACGCCAGCACTACAGCACAATTTTTAGAGACAGCCAACCTGCCTGATCATGACTGAATGTGATCATAATACCTGATCTGAAAACTAAAGCAGAATGAAGAGCAAGGAGCTGAATCTATCTGAAAAATAACAGGGCAGCAACAGCCAGCAATTCAACAGAATCCTTGCATTGATGACAGTAAAAGGGAGAAATGGCCCATCACCATCTCCTCAGCAACAGTAAAAATCCCACTTGGGAGATTTTTCTGTGTTAAATGACATACAAAAAAGCTAAGGAAATTAACACAGAGCCATCCCACACTTGGGAGACAGGAGAGTGCTAGGTCCTGTTCCTTGCTGCAGACAAGACCGTGGCAGCATGGACATGTGTGACATATGGGAAAAACTTTGGAAAAGAAAGGCCTTGTGAAATAATAGTTGAGGCCTTGCTACTTCAGCTGGTACAGCTAACAGCTAACTTGATAAGTACCCTTGAGAAAAGAATTGTAACAGTGAGAATTAGTTTGTATATCAATCTATTCTTGTGGGAAAACAATTTGGACCTGTGAGGAGAAAGATTCTACCTGTGTGAAAGATTGACTTTCCAGGAGATAAGAATATAAACATATGCAGAGAGGAATGTTTTCGATAGACAATACACTAGCCATTACCAATGAACTGAGGAAGCAAAAAGTTGTTAACCAATTAGAAGTAAATATGATGCCCTCAGAAAACCATACAAATATGATCCATGGAGAATAAAGATAGCCTGTGGTAGATAAAGAAACAGGAGTCCTTATCCGCCTTTGCTGTGACAGAGATGTCTTTGACAGTGCCTTCTGACCGTAACTAGAAATTTTGACCAGCACTGACAATCCAAGCCCAGTGTCTGAACACATTTGCAGCTTGTATGACTTCACACATGATAGCTATTCCACCAGCAAAACATCTGGCCCATGCTTTTGTAGAAGTGACTGTTGTTCAATGTAGTAAATGCTGGCGACCCCCACTGAAGGGAAGAATCATGCATCTGACTCCATGATATCAGAAGCCTAATTAATTACTTTATTATACAATATTACACTATACTATATTACACTACATCTAAACTGAAACTACACAAACACTCAACCAAATCTCGTGACTGTCTGCCAACAGTCCTGACACACATGTGGGATTCAATTGGTTAATGAATAAAACACACTAGAATCCAATTACCAATGCCCGTCAGGTGAACAATCTTCCACAATGCATTCCACTTGTGCACAAACACAGGGGCAACAACTGAAATAAGAATTGTTTCTTCTTTCTCTGAGGTTCCTTGCTGCAATTCACAGAAAATAGCCTTGGGAAGTTGTGCCTTGCTTTTCTCTGTGAAGAGAAATGGGGCCACAGTTGGACTCACCCACTGCCAGTAATTTCCACTTCAGTATATTTGGTCTTGGGATTTTTCATGTTCTCCATTCTCCCTGAGGGAAACAAAATACAAGTTGCTCACTTGAAAGGAGAGATCCCAGCTTCCAGGAGATAGAAGAGGCCAGCCCCACTGTCTGGGGCTCTCAAGGGAAGGCACGTTTGGGGAGAGACTGGCATTTAATGAAAGAAGGAATAAGGAAAGTTCTGGGAAAAGGGCAGAAACAAAAAAACAGCATAAGAAAATTACAAAATTACAAATCAAACAGTAAGCATACTAATAAAACAAAAAACACACTACAACAGCCTTACACTAAAGACAGCACCACCCACAACTGGCACTTACTGGCTAGGAATATTCAGGCTCCGGTGTGACCAGTGATGGAGGCTTGTGGTCATTTTGCTCCTCTTTGGCTTCTTTGGGAGCAGAGGAAGCCAGGGCAGAGACTGCAGTTGATTCTGTGATCTGTGGACAGACAGCAGTGTGAGGGACAGAAAGTACCTATCATTTATAACCTTTTTTCTATTCAGCACCTATTTCTATTCAGCTCTATTTCTACAACCAGCTCTACTAAGGACAAATCAGGAACTTTGATAGCAATGGGATTCTAAGTCACTGCAACTAAATTAAAATGGGCTAATTCAACAGAACTGCACATTTTTCTGAATTAGATGGGAAAATTGGATGATCTTCAGGGAGGACAAGGGCAGTCTGGAGGAACCACCAGCACCCCCAGACACATCCACTGATATGAGGAGGGGTGGACAGTTGTCATAGCCTTGGAGCTGGGATACCAGAAATCTCAACATGAAGAAGACAGCTGGGGAGGGGCTTGGGTGAGTTTTGCTTTATGAGTTCTTGTATTCCAAGAAGTCGCATGGCTGCATGTTTTTGTTTTCTTGACCTGTGTTTGGAGAGCCAAGTGTGCCAGCAGGCCAAGCAGACAAGGACCAAAAGACAAGAACCTGTCTGGATGCATCACTCTCTCTGCCAGAAATCCTCAGAGGAGATGGGAGAGACACTGTAGTGGCACCCAAGGGGCAGGCATATGTTAGCTTCACAAACACTGGGACAACGGTGGGGAATTTCTGGGGAGATCAAGCCGTTGCTGTGCCTCCTCCTGACAGCCCATGTCTTGAGCCTTTGGGGTTCCTTCCTCACCCCTCAGTGACACATCCTAACAAAAACTGGACAGGTTGTTTCTCAAATGCCGTAGGCATGTGCTTAATCCAAGTACAAAATACCTACAAATTAAAGGTAGGAAGGAGTAGCTGTCAGCTGGAGAGGGCTTTTGCTCAGATCCTTCTTTATCACAGTTTCCTCCAGTCTATTGTGGGGAAGGTGTCCTGGGTGAGACATGGCTGATGCAAAGCAACATCTTCTCTGCAGAGCTAAGGTGGCAACTTGGCAGTCAGCCGCTGTTAGAACCCACATCCATGGAGGAGAGAGTAACCCAGGCTCTTGTTAATAATCCCTTGGATTGGCTAAAAGTGAGTTGATAATGAATGAATGAATGCATGATTGGTGTCTGTAAATATATATAGTGTTTATTTTAGAACAATTTGGTTGCAGTGGAAAGCAGGTGTTTAGCCATTCCAGTTATTATGCTCTATAGTTGTATAGCAATATGACAACATAAAAATGTTACATAAGGAAATGTAAGAAAGAAAGAAAGAAACATTAAGAGAAACAGAAAAGAGGTTGAGCACTGGGAATGGTCAGGGCCTGGCACAGGGAATGTCCAGCAGATTTGCTGACCTGGAGGTCTGCAGCCTCCAGTTCAGCTCCTCTGCAGTAGCCATTACTCACCAAAGCTCACCACCTCCCTCAAGGGATGCAAACCTGGCCTTAGAAAGCACCCTGGCCCTGCCCAAATGACCAAGGTTCTGAGTCACTGATCATGAGTAGATAGTCCAGTCTCTCACAGTCACCACTCCAGGTCACCTTCTCTTGCCTCCAGAATTTCTGTTTTCAGCACCTTCAGATTTACCTCCAAACTCCCAAAAGAATCAAAACAACACACACCAAAATCTGTTCTTCCTCTTGGACATGGCTTAGTTCCAGCATCCTGGGGATTGAAAGCTGGCCCGGCAGGTGTGCCAGAGACATTCCCACAGCTTGGCTGGTGTGCACCAAGAGGACTCTCTTTTGCCATCATGATCATGTCCAGAAAGAAAGGTTGGTTACTGACCAGGCCGCTAAAGGGAGGACAGATGAGCAGGGATGCAGACACCGCCTAGGCCAGCAGCCCTTGGCAGCGGCTGCTCAAGCGCAGCCCACCAGGACTGTCTGTGCTGATAGGCCTGTGGGAGTGGTCAGTGGACAGGATTCAACCTGAATGACCTCCGTGAAACAGAGTTGTCCTGAGTTTGGAGCAAGTGAGCCCAGGAGCTGGTTCTGGAAATCACCAATCCAGCACCTGGAAAGCTTGTAGCAGCTGTGGCTATCCTGGAACAGACCATGCCTTGTACATCCAGTTAACAGTGTTTCTCCTAGAAATGTGGGATTTGTTCTAGGAAAAACTTTTGCTGGGGAAGAGGTACCAATGAGTGTTTGAGAGAGAGGAAAACTTACCATAATACAAGGAACCAGGTGTAAACCAGCTTGTTTACTTGTTTAATTTTTGTTTTATTAAGAAAGGGCATGGAGGGTG